CAAACGCGCACCTAGCTAGCTCATCACTGCTCGGTGCTCGCTCCAAACCATGCATCCAATCCAAACAAAACACATGCACACACATACAGCACAGTGCGTATGCCCAATTATTCACATGCACATAGGAGGGAGGGATTCAATAATTCAGAAGGGATATATAGAAATCTCGAGGGTCAAGTCTGCAGCAGACAGGTAAAAACTATGGGCAAGTGACAACAGAAGCGTATACTCGCTGCTGTTGATGAAAAAGGAACATGAGACAAGAGACGAGACCCTGTCAACTGTCATTGCATCACATGATCACTTGGCTGTAAGGAGTAGTGTAGATATGCGCAGTTGCATTACATACAGCGGCGCGCCTGCATGCATATGTATACGTACAATGCAACACAATTAAAGTTCCCGGCCGGACTCACATATATATTATTATGGGATGCGTGTCAGTCAAACTAACTCAAATTTGATCAAGTTTATAGTAAATAGTATTAACATTTATGTCTCCAATTAAATTTATTATAAAAATATATTCTATGACTAATCCAAAGAAACTTATTTTGTATTATAAATATTAGTATTTTTTATATAAATTTAGTCAAACTTTAAACTGTTTGACTTCTCGAAAAGCGGTAATTACATTTCTTTTGTAGATGGAGGGAGTACTTCACGTGGCCAATTCCTCTCTGCAAGTACAGCCAAATGTCATCTAGTGATGATCATTACCACAATCATCACGTAAAAGGTATGGTTTTAATTCAGATGATAATACGGAACACAAAACCAAAAAGACCACATCGCAGGACCATCACATCTAAAGCGTTATTAGGTTAACAAATCACATGGCAAACCCACCCAACGAATCCATACAAGATCACGGCCCCCTGCTTGATGAAAAATAAAGGTCCCACGACCACACACAATTTCCTAGGACATGGGTATACAAATATCTTTTTGGCGACATGGGCACGGGAATATTTTAGATGATTGTTGTAATAATAATAGAGTGAAATACACTAGCGGCCCTTTAACTTGTCGGCATGTGCCAATCCGGTCCACGAACTTGCAAACGCGGAAAATAGACCCCTAAATTTGTCAAGTTATTCACCGCAGGTTCATTTTCCATCGGCGCGGCCTCCAGGCGACGTGGCAGTGCAGCGTGGCGGACGAAGCACGTGAGCCGCACGTTTCAATGGGCCTACCATGCTCGCTTGCCGGTCGCGCAACACCGCTTCGGCCGCTGCCGGTTGTCTGCTGCCGCCGCCGCGCGCTGCCCGGCACCGTGTGCGCTTCGGCAGCGGCACCGCCTTCGCCGTGGCTCCGTGTGCTTTCGCTGCTACATGCGCTTGCCGGAGCCGCCCGCGCGCCGCCCGCCGGGCTGCCACGCTTCGCCGCCCGGCACGTGTAGGCGCTCCTCCGCTGACGGCGCCTTCTGTACCACCGAAAGCAGCTGGCCGGACCGCCGCCTCCGCTTTCTTGCCGCCTTAACATGCGCTGGCACGCACTGCTGCTTGCATGTCGAGCTCGAGCTCGAGTAGCACTGTTGGAGAAATCGTCCTTGCCTTCTTTTACGCGTGTATTTGGCGACCTCTCCTCTTTCTCCTCTCACAACGCCGCCGCCGACGAGAGCCGATCGCCGGCAAAATTCAACACCACCATAGCACCCCCGCCCAATAGCTCACGCCCATGACTTCGCCTGCTCCTCGCGCACCTCATTGACCTGCTCGCGTCGCTCCTCGCAGACTAATTCGGCCGCGTCCACCATTTCCGTCGCGGCCGAGCCGCCATGGCCGCCGTGGACAGCTCCGCCGTGGCCGGCTCGTCTCGCTGCATCTCCTTCCCTCTTAGTTTTTATTTTGGCTTCCTTGCTAGGTGGTTATGCTCATTGTTCCCCCATAGGACACGCCGAAATGCGTCGTCATCGCCGGTTCTTGCTGCCGTTCTCGCCGCCGACGCCGGCAGGCACTTCCGCTCCGCCCCCGCTTCAACCAAGAAGCGCCCTGATGCCATGGTGAGCTCCTGGTGCCACTTGAGTCCTTAGCCGAACCCCTACCACGCTGTAGTCGCGGTGCGTCGTCGCGCCCCGCCGATTGCTAAGCCACAGGCGGCGTGGCGGCACTGCGGGAAGCCAGCGGCTGCTCCGGCAAGCGCGCGCGGCAGCAAACGCTGAAGCCGCTGGCGGAACCGGCGCCGATGGCGAGCGCCACGCGGAGGAGCTACACGGTGTGCCGGGGGGCGAAGCGTGGCAGCAGCGGACGGGCGGCGCGCGGTGGCTCTAGCAAGCGCATGTGGCAGCGAGCACACGGAGCCAGTGGGCGAGAGCGGTGCCACGGCCGAGCGCACGCGGTGCCAGCAGGCGAGCGGCGCGACACGACCCCGCGCGGCCTAGCGGGTGTTTCGCGACCGGCAAGCGAGCGTGGCAGGCCTGTTGAAACGTGCGGCTCACGTGCTTCGTCCGCCATGCTGGCACTGCCACATCATCCGGAGACCGCGCCGGATGGGAAATGGACCTGTGGTGAACAACTTGACAAGTTCAGGGATCTATTTTCCGCGTTTGTAAGTTCGTGGACCGGATTGGCATAGGCCGACAAGTTAAAGGGCCGTAAGTGTATTTCACTCATAATAATATAAGAACAAAGTACTGGCCTCTGCAATAATCCGATTCATAAGGATACATGTAATTAACATGAGTTACAAAACCCAATTCGATCTTCTTGTACTACAACTTAGGGACCCTATTTTCCACTAAGAGCATCTCCATACTCCGTACTTTGGAAGCAAGGGAGCAAAAACCCAGGGATAGATTGAAACCCCTCTGTGAAGAACTAAGAACTAAAATGGGATCCCAGTGGATTAACCATCTGGGGAAGAGTCCTGGAGGCTGGATCCCAGAGGGAATGGAGTTTCCAAAACCCACTTCTAATCTTTATTTATTTTTTGGCAAGATTGATAAAACTGCTCTCTAACAACTCACTATCTCAACTCTCAATCTTTCTGCGTTTGGGAAAATCGACCTAATCGCATGGAAATATGTGTGCATGTATCCATCGGTCAATATGGAGGTGGAAGGACACGAGAAATAGTAAGGAGTAGGACATGATTCCTAATGCAAATGTATAAGAGAGAAAGAAAGTATAAAAGTAGTTAGCGTGATTTTCAAATAGCCCGGGATCCTGATGCAAAATTGCCTTGTACATTTTAGAAGGTGGATTTTGAAAATTGTTGGAGAAACCAAACAAACATGCTCCCAATTTTTTCGCCACTTGGAAAACTAATTGATTTACCAATTAATTTTTGTGAATTATTGGAGATGCTCTAATGGCTAGTAGCAAAAAAAAAAGATTATTTTTCAAGCGTAAAAATCCATTTAGACCAGGATACTAAAGTGTCACGGAGTGCAGAATCACGTACTGTGACCACTAGGGCCCTAGGGCCCTGCTTGGATATGCTTGACTGAGAACCGATTCTAATCTGATCAGGATTTTATCATAAGTCACTGTCCGGAGAATCTGCAGTGCAAAGAATCTAGGCATTTAACAATCCTGTTTTTTTCATAGGTTGTCTGTCCTGAGTGTAAAATGGCATGTGCATATTTGAGGCTGATATGATAGCTCATTTATTGACTGAATACAAGCTAAAAGCAATGCTGGTACTAATTTTTCAATTTGTTTAATAGAAAGTTTGTTACATTAATAACTAACCTATAGGAAACTAAAATGAATAGGTGACGCATTCTCATTCTCTAAAATACATTGAAATCAAGGTGTATGCAACCAATCACCCAACCATAGTTGTGGTTATAGCATAAAGCAAAGCACCCATATCCATGTCATCCCCTTAATAACTCATTCACCTGTGCTAGATTCAGTTCCATGCGTACTATCATATTGGATATTTGACTGAAAATCAACATCATTTATGTTATTGTCTCTAATGAAATTGTGAAGGGTCATACAAGCAACTACTTCAGCGGTACTTTTCAGCGAACGAACAATGTTTTCCTCTCACAACAAATCAGCATAAGCCAAATTTCAGCTAAACGAACAGAGCCACAATTTTTTATTGCTTGTTAACCAGAAATTAAGGCATGTTTGAGTGAATAACCCATTTCATCTTTAGGACTACAAACGATCGTTCAATCACATTCCTCAAACTCGAATGTGCATAATTGAACACTTCCTTCAATCCCACTGGATTACGACCATGGTGCCATTGAGAAACATGGTGCCGTTGTTCCTTGTATGGTGTAAGATATCCTTTCCTGTGTAAAATTGAAGTATATATACAACACAATCATACAAGTAAATCCATCGATACAAGTAACTGTAAAATTGGAATGTTCAAGGAAGATGTCTATACCTGAACGTTGGGCGTCGACGAGGGAGCTGGTGGCAGGGAAAGAGGCGAGCGCTTGACACCGCCAGGGCTACCATAGGAGTTGGGCGTCGGTGACTGATCTTGGGTGTCGGTAAAAACACGGGCACGAGCCGTGACTAATAGCATGGACCCAGCTGGCAGCTGCCGGTGGGGCTCGGCTTCCCCGGACCCCGGTGCACGGCACTTGCCATGCCATCTATATCTGCGCCGTCTCATTCATCACCCTCCGGCCTCCCCTCCCCTGACAGGCAGAGGCAGAGGCAGCCAGCCAGCCAGCCAGCCTTGTTGCCTTGTTGGGATCCCCTCCACGTTCCCGTCCCGTCCCGCCGGCCGGAGCACATGGCGCGCCATTCATAAGCCCTCGCCTGGGTTGACCACTCAACCGCTGTACCTGTACCATCCATCCTCTGTGTTTTGCTGCCTCTGCCTGGTCATCCGACCGACGCAACGTCGCTGCTCCTTCCTTCCCTTCCCTTATCGTCGAGTGAGGCGGCGGTAGTATATACTAGTAGCTCTGTCGTGCCCGTGTTGTCTCATGTGAGCTGGTGGAGCTGCGTTCGTCCTACTAGCTAGCTACACCGTGTCCGCATTGCCATTTGGTGATCTGGAAGCAGCAAGGTTGGCTGGCAATGGGGAAGGCGGGGCGGTGGCTCAGGAGCATCTTGGCGGGGAGGAAGGAGAAGGACAAGGCGCTACGGCAGTATCCGCAGCAGCAAGGCGACGCCACGCCGCTGCCGGCCGCGGCGAGCAGCCCCCGGGAGAAGAAGCGCTGGAGCTTCAGGCGGCCCGCGCCGGCGTCGGGGCAGCAGGGGAAGGTCAATAATGCGGCGCCGTCCCCGCTGTCGTCGTCGCTGGAGCCGTCGGCGCGCGAGCTCGACCAGAGCGAGCACGCCGTGGCGGTGGCCGTGGCCGTGGCGGCTGCTGCCGCCGCCGACGCCGCGGTCATGGCTGCCGCCGAAGCGGCGGCCGCGGTGGCGCGTCTGACGACGGCTGCGGAGGAGAGCCATCTGTCCGTGAGCTGCTGCCCCGTCGAGGACGCCGCCGCCGCCAGGATCCAGGCCACATTCAGAGGCTATCTGGTGAGAATACATGGAACCAACCAGATCTGTGACGATCACGAGTGCCCCATGGTGAGTGATCCATGATCTGACCACGCGAACGCACCTGAAATGCAGGCTCGGAAGGCGCTGTGCGCGCTGCGCGGGCTGGTGAAGCTGCAGGCGCTGGTCAGGGGCCAGCTGGTGCGGAGGCAGGCCACCGCCACGCTCCGCCGCATGCAGGCCCTCGTCGACGCGCAGTCCTGCCTCCGCGCCCATCGCGCGCGCATGCTGGACGCGGACCACGCCACGCCGGCCTACCAGGCACGCCGGTCACCGCAGCATCACCTTCCAAGGCGCCGCAGCTCCTACGTATGTCCCCCACACACACACTTGCATGGCCGACTCTGCATTTTGCCCGCCTGGTGAGGAACTGGTGAGTGGTGACAGCTGACAGCTGACAGCACGCCATGTCGTATGTATCCGCGCATGCAGGAGGTGATGGACCGGTCGTCGGGGGAGGAGCACGTGAAGATCGTGGAGATGGACGTCGGCGAGCCGGCACGGCCCGGGCGGAGCAGCTGCTCGGCGGCGGCCACCGAGTCCAGGGAGCGGCGCCTCGCTGAGTACTACCACGGCGGCGGGCAGTGCTCGCCCGCGCCGCCGTCCGCAGCGTTCTTCGGCGCCGAGCTCAGCCCGCCGCGCGCCTACAGCGGCCACTTCGAGGACGTGCACGTGTTCGCGTTCGACCCCGCGGCCACGGTGAGGAGCAGCCCGTACGTGGGCCCCTACGACGCCGCCGCCGCCGCAGCCGGCGACGGGTACGGCGTCGTCCCGAGCTACATGGCCAACACCGAGTCGTCCCGCGCCAAGGCCCGGTCCCAGAGCGCGCCAAGGCAGCGCACCGACGCCGCGGCGCTGGAGCGGCAGCCCAGCAGCAGGCGCCGCAGCCAGGGCGGCGCGCCCAGGAAGATGATGCAGCGCTCGTCGTCGCACATCGGCGTGCCGGCGGCGGCGGCTGCGTGCGGGTACCGGTACGGCTACCAGCATGCGCCGCCGTGGGCGGGCGTGAGGCTGGACCGCTCCAGCGCGTCGGTGGTGGGCAGCGAGTGCGGGTCCACCAGCTCCGTGCTCACCGCCGCCACCGTCGGCTACTGCCGCTCGCTCGTCGGATTCGAGGTGCGCCACGCTGGATCACATGATTTCTTACAATTGGAACTCGGAAATTGATATGATTGTTCGTGTACTGACGATCCGTGTGTTCTTGGTTGAGCTGCTGCAGGTGCAGCGGGGCCACTACTGAAACAGCTGCGAATTGAAGAAGCACCATTGCGGCAGCAATACAGTACAGTGTATGGACCACGGATTATAATTTAGCTCATTTTTTAATCGAAATCATATTTTTCTCTCACAACAAATTAACCGAAACAGTGTTTTGGTTTATTTTTTTCGCGAAGCGAACAGGGCCTTTGATCGGAAGAGTTGTCGTGTTTGCACTTTGCAATGTTGTAACAGTTCATCTATGCCTGATGATGATGGTTCTTGTGAAATAGTAGCTGCGTGTTGTTGTTGTTTTATCTAGGCAGGCAAGATGTGTAAATTTGAAATGTCAACAGCATGCGTCCTTGTTCGTTCAAAAAAAAAAACAGCATGCGTCCTTAATCGAACTGCCTAATGATTCAGTGCGCGTGATACGGGACAGGCTGGATAGAGCCTAGAGAGCTTAGCATGATACAGTGTCATTTGCATCTCATGCCACTTTGGAACATAAGAATTTTTTTTTGTTTTTTGTGTTTTTATAGCAAAAATCAACTAGTTTCCACAAAATTCTTGCATTCCAAACGACCCTAAATTATCCATTTTACAAAAAATAGTATAAAATATCCCTCAAACCTACGTATATAAATACTAGTATTTGTTATTATACAACATAATTCAATAAAGAAAAAGTATGTTATATATATTTAAATTACATAAATATACCACTACTAAATTAAAAATAAGTATACTGCTACTTACAAATGTTGCCTAAAAAGGGTGGATCCTATTTGTCGGCCATTTACTCCACTGGAGGTGAAGTCCAAAAATTAACCGCTCTAAAAGTGGAGATTTCTAGAGAAATAGCATTGATATCATTCCAAAAACTACGTTAAACAAAAAAGAAAAACCCACAAATCCTCAAATGCAACAGCTTTAATATCATGTTTACCCATCTACATGCCCAGAGTATTGCCCTTTTCGGTGACACGTTGCATAGAATCAATGCAACCAAGCATTTCGTCGGGCCAACCCTTGTATTCATAGCCTTGACAGAGTGGTTGAAAGCCTCGACTCTTTTCAATCTTGACCACCTCATCAATTGAATCTACGGGAACATTTTGTCTAAAATATGAAATGAGCCAACTATCTTTTGCAATGCATTAGCTCCAAGGACCTCTGCTACATTTTGTCTGCTAAAATAATCATCATGAACCTCAGATGTGGCAGTCAGGCAGTGGATTTGGATCATCCAAAATTCAAGACATTCGTTGCTTTGTATATGCTTGGTTAAGGTACATATCCACCTGTGATCCAATAATGTCCAAAATCTATTGGAGAGGAGCTTAAAAATTCAAATGTCCATTAGATATCTAGCTCACATGTTGATCTAGCTTAGATATTTTATGTAGGGCCCACATGTTGATCTAGCTGCACTAATATGCATAGAGTAGTAGGTTATTATTATATTGAGTATTTTCAAACAATTTTTAGTCAACCTCGGTACCATCGCCGCCACCGCTGTGCCTAGGGGCCCTCTCTTTAGCCGCAACTCTGTCTCGCAAGCTGCTGCCGCCACCGCTGCGCCTAGGGCCCCTCTCATTCTTCCTCTCCAGCGCGTCTACCAAGGATAAGACGGAGAGGGGACCCATCTCTTTAATTTCCTGTAGTTTTTCTAGTTTATTAGGGTTTAGTCAAAATAAATCTTCCAGCGAAATCAGATGATTTTCGGTTGGGGTCATGTTTCCTTCAATAACTTCGATGATTGCCATGACGAGATCTCCATTGCAGGCGTCGCTTTCATCGGCAGGTGGCCAAGTTGTGGCCATTATTTGCAAGGGGAGGGGTGCTTCTAGGCGCCCCAACGAAGACAGCTACTCCAGGTCATCGATCTCATCGTCGTTGGTCACAGAGAGAAATTCAAGATTGGAAGGTGATGAATCTGCATCCTATGCTACTCCCGACAATGCAACTATTTATATTCTTTCATCGATTCATATGCGTTTTGGACTGGTTCCAAAGCGTTGGTTCTTGCGGTATGTCCAATGTTTTGGGGTTGGTTGTTGAATTCGGCATAAGGACTGCACTTTGGCTCCGGCGTTCGATGGATGCCATTGAGGAAGAAGAAGATGGAAGAATCTTGATAGAGTATTGTGTTTTTTTTATTTCAGATTTTTTATATGTAATTTAGGGATGTACTGTGCCAAGTTTTAATATATTCCCCTTCCCTTCGAAAACAAAACTTCGCTAAATTTTGAAGGTGACAACGTGATGTTTTAAAATCTAGGGTCTCAGATTTTTTGCGTGGTATATATACCCACAACAATTTACACAAATTATGGTTGATTATCATATTAAGTAATCTCCAACAAGTTTCAATTAATTTTACTAAATTTTTAATGTGTGAACATGAGATTTAATTATAAGGTGCTGCTTTAGATGTGAAGTCAACATTTAGATACTTTTGCTATTGTATTGGATCATCACAGATGGATTAGTATTTTAAAATAATCCGATTAAATTGGATTGGACTGGACATTAGTCATTTTGTATTGGATTTAGATTAGATGTTGTCTCATTTTTTCTTGGATTTTTATTGGACTTCTCCATTTGAATTTGGATTCTAATCTATTACCACCACTACTTATGGGCGGAGCCAGGGGGTGCCATATTTTTTTCAACAAAAACAAATACATGTATAAAGGTATACATTAGTCCATGGGCACATGCCGTTATTTGAGTGTTATCTTAAGCTATTCTAAATTTTTTAAAATATGTTATATTACAGGACAGGGAAAGTATAAGTACATTATGGGGGACAGGAGGCTAAATTATAGAAACCGGCTTAAGTATTTGTTTACCACATGAGCTTATATAAGCTATATTATAAAAAAACAATGGATTACGCAAGCTAGGGGATAGATAAACAGGTCCGGAGTCAAACAACATTACCTTGTGCATGTCTTAAATTTTACACAAATGGACAAGACAATATTGACATTATTATATTTATTTTGAAAAATATAATAATGCTAATATTGTGAATGCTTGATTATTCTAAATGATTTTTTTTTTCAAAACACAATAGCTTTACGAAGTCAGCATTGGCATTCTCTCTATCGAAGTGGGTGTCGCTTATCCTTAAAAGAACATCGTTATGTCATTAAATCCTTAAATAAATTTAGAAAAATATGGCTCGCTAATGTATAAACACTGTTAAATCTTAGTTAAATATCCAGAAAAAATACGAACATTCACGTCAAGTTATATACTTAAATCCAAATTAACATATTTCACCATATATAAAAAACCTAATCAGCCGAGCGCTGAGCTTGTTTATCCTGAACGAATCTAGTGGTCTTAGATATGTTATTGTTCTGACAAAACTGTTGATACCATGTACAAATCGAACACGGTGTTGATACCATGTACAGATTGAAGGCTTGTTTGTACATAGAGAGGAAAAACGTTCCTCATAATGCATACTTGTCGAGAGAGATCACGGAGAAAATTAGCTCAATATTTTTCACTACGAACCGAACAAAATAACAAGGCCTAAATATATTTATTCATCTAATCTAATCTAATATCGAGGCATATGTAGTATGTATCGATATCGACATACCTCTGCAATGACGCCCAGTAGGATTATCCAACCAGGATTCGAGTAAGAGTTGCTGCTTTCCTTTGCCGACTCGTACTCTACGGGTACCGCTACGCACGCAGGCCTCTATATGTTCATCACACGTCCTTTCTCGATCGCAATTCGCAATCTCGTTTGCACATACATACACCAGTCGCCAGATTCGTTAGCACGTAGCACACGTAGAGCCATGGTGGTGGTGGTGCAGCAGGTCATCGACGTGACTGCAGCGGCGGCAGACGGCAGCGCCGCCCGACGTCGTCCGGCGCGCGTGCCGGTGCCCCCGCCGCGCTCGCTGCTGAGCACGGTCGGGGCCAAACTCAAGGAGACGCTGTTCCCGGACGACCCGTTCCGCGCCGTGGCGCGCGAGCCCGCGGGGCGTCGCCGCGCGCTGGCCGTGCTCCGCTACCTCCTCCCGTGCCTCGAGTGGCTGCCGTCCTACTCGTTCGCCAAGCTCCGCTCCGACGTCGTCTCGGGAGTCACCATCGCCAGCCTCGCCGTCCCGCAGGGCATCAGCTACGCAAGGCTCGCCGGACTCGACCCCGTCATCGGACTATGTGAGTATGCATATTCATGATCTCTCTTATCTATATGTGCACGACGGACGTCGTACGCCATTTACAAGCAACAAACAACGTGACCGATCGAACCCTCCCACTGCTTACAGACTCGAGCTTCGTGCCGGCGCTGGTGTACGCCGCGCTGGGGAGCTCGCGGGAGCTGGCGGTGGGCAGCACGGCCGTGATCTCGCTGCTGTTCGCGTCCATGCTGGGTCCCGCGGCGTCGCCCGCGGAGGACCCGGCGCTGTACGCCAGCCTAGCCTTCACGGCCACCTTCTTCGCGGGCGCCTTCCAGGCGGCGCTGGGCGTCCTCCGTCTCGGCTTCCTCATCGACTTCCTCTCGCACGCCGCCATCGTCGGCTTCATGGGCGGCGCCGCCACTGTGGTGGCCCTGCAGCAGCTCAGGGGGTTCCTCGGCCTCCAGCACTTCACGCACGCCACCGACCTGCCGGCCGTCATGCGCTCCGTCTTCTCCCAGTCGGCGCACTGGCTTTGGCAACCCTTCCTTATTGGAGTCTGCCTCTTCGTCTTCCTGCAGATCACACGCTACATCGTGAGTACTAGTATCTAGTATCTACAACGATTCCTTGCTCTTGTTACAATTAAGATAACATACAAAAATGATTGTATATAAGTTATGTACGCTGTCTAATGAAGAATCTTCCTTCTAGCAGAGCAAGAGGCGGCCCAAGTTGTTTTGGATATCGGCGGCGGCGCCATTGGCGTCAATCATTGTCTCCACACTTCTGGTCTATCTCATCAGTGGGGAAAAGTACAGTATTCAAACGGTGAGCATGAGCAAAAGACATGTTATGTTATGTATCCTTAGTGATAGCAATATATTTATTTACTGAGGGCTAAACTTGCAACTGTACGTGCTAGATCGGCTCCGTGAAGAAGGGCATAAATCCCTTGTCGGTCAAGAGTCTGCTCTTGTCGTCGCCACACACGTGGCTCGCCGCCAGGACCGGGATCATCACCGGCATTATCTCACTCGCTGTAAGCACTTCGTTTTGTTTCCTTGTGGCATCTATCTGCTACAGATCGAATGATCGATCACCCGACATGCATGCAGGAAGGGTCTGCGGTTGCGCGGAGCTTCGCCATGGCCAAGAACTACCACGTGGACGGGAACAAGGAGATGATCGCGTTCGGGGCGATGAACATGGCGGGCTCCTGCACCTCCTGCTACCTGACGGCGTCCCCGTTCTCGCGGTCGGCGGTGAACCGCGACGCCGGGTGCCGGACGGCCGCGTCCAACGCCGTCATGGCGCTGGCCGTGGCGGCCACGCTCCTCCTCCTGACGCCTCTGTTCCGGTACACGCCGCAGGCGGCGCTGTCGGCCATCATCACATCGGCGATGCTGGGCGTCATCGACGTCCGCGCCGCGGCGCGCCTGGCGCGGGTGGACAGGGTCGACTTCTGCGTCTGCCTCGCCACCTTCCTGGGCGTCGTCTTCCGCAGCATCGACGTAGGCCTCGTCGTCGCCATCGGCGTGCTGGTGCTCCGGGTCCTGCTCTCCGTGGCGCGCCCGAGGACCACGGCTCTCGGGAAGGTGCCGGGCTCCACGGCGTACCGGAGGATGGACCAGTACGCCACGGCGCAGGCCACGCCGGGGGTGCTTGTCCTGCGCGTCGACTCGCCCATCTGCTTCGCCAACGCCAGCTACCTGCGGGAGAGGATCTCGCGGTGGATCGACGACCACGAGGATCAGATCAGGACCTGTGGCGGAGAGAGCCTGCGATGCGTCGTGCTTGACATGGGAGCTGTCACGAGCATCGACTCGTCTGGTACTGGCATGCTGGAGGATCTCAAAAGGAGCCTTGACAAGAGATGCCTCCAGATAGCATTGGCCAATCCCGGCAGTGAGATTATGAGGAAACTTGACAAGTCCAAGGTGCTCCAGATCATCGGCGACGAGTGGATCTTCTTGACAGTAGCCGACGCGTCTGATTATGCACACAGAAACTGCAAGATTGCAACTACTCTGCAATCTGTTCTGTCACCGAACGAGATGGTCTGAAGCTCTCAATATCATTGACATTGACACTATCATCTATGTCTGATTGTACTCTTGAATGTATTCTTTGAAGATGGAAGAATAGCAAAAGCTATTCCTATTTTTTCAGTATATATAATAATGTTCAAAGAAGTTCCACTATTAATTTGAAATGACCAACTATATACTGATTGCACATGTTGAATATAGACAAACTTTTCAGATTTGCAAAGCCAGAGAACCCTTTACTGAGATTTCAGAGCACCATGCAAATTGCAGCTCCAACTATTCCCAGTGCTGGCATTGCCAATAGGAACAATAGATTCGGAGACTCGAAGGGAAATTCGAATAGCGTTTCGGTTATCAAATGCACTGCTTCTGCACTCAGAACCTGGAAGCAAAATGCACTGCATGTGCATGGGCTATATAATAGATGGAAAGAGAACGCCTTGATACTATATCACAGTAATACCTGAGATTAACACATTAAACTAGCTAGAATGGCCTCATTTAGACAGGGAACCAAAAATTTAGTACATAAGCTTCTTCAGGATACTAAAATGCTAGCTCAATTACAAAGGGGATCCTAGGAACACCACCTCCTCTTGGAGGTGCAGGTGCCAGCATCTCAATTTTGTTCTATTTCTTCTGGCCGCGAGAACAAAAAGGTTACGGCTCTGTTCTTGATTTCGGACGAACACAACCACAGAACGGGACCCTCTTCTTTTTCTTCTTCTGCCCTCCACCACGGTCCTTCCTTCCATACAGATAGTCCCTCAAAAGCACACGGGTGCGCTTATCAGAGACTTTGAGCCTTCTGTACTCGTGCTCTTCCTCAAGCTTGAGCAGGACATACTGTATCTTCTGAAGTTCCAGTTCCAACCTTGCCACATTTTCCGACCCTTTCTGCACCTGCTCGGAGATCTTCCTCCTGCTGGAATACCCTTCTCGCTCGGTGTTCATATTATCTGACAACATGGGATAGTTCTCAGCCTTCCTGGTCAATTTGTTGTTGAAATTGATCTGTTCCAAGACAAAACCCTCTGTCTCATGCAGCTGTGTGCTCACACTGCTGTACTCAGAATTCATTGGGGATTTGCCCTTTGACGGCCCCTCCATTTTCTGCTTTAACTCCTCAATGCTCGCTTGGATGCTCAACAGCCTCTGAGCATCAGAAGTGAGCCTCTCAAGTACGTTCTTGCTCCACGCCTCATGAGGCTCTACAGCACCCTTTGACACTTCTAGCTTATTGATTCCAAGGTCTCTTCCCCTTGCTAGCTCAGACGAAGGGTACTCACTCTTCAGATCCTCGACCGCTTGTATGTCATGCTCAAATGACGAGGACTTGGCTGTTTCGTTCTTGCAGCTCCTCTCTGCAGCCTCCCACAGCTGAAGCATATCGTCATCGAGTTCAGCGTTTGCACCAGTTCCAAGGGGATAGAGGGCAGCTCCAGCACCATATGGTGGACAAGTAGATATTTTGTCCAGCTCAATATCCTTCATGATCTGGACTTGCTTCCCTTTGGAGACTTCAACATCTTGTTTCTCATGGTCAGAATATATTTCTTTTGCCACCATGCGTGAGCTGCCTCTTGCTTTAAGCTCTTGAATTTCTGTACTTGCCGCTGCCAATTTAGCTGCAGACTCGGTTGACTCCTGATCTTGACGATCTTTAGCATTTAATACAACCACTTGAAGTGCTTCTATTCTTGCAATCAACCCTTGTAGCTTTGGAGTTCCTTTGGGTAAGCAATCAGATTCCAGCCCATCGTTGCCCTCTTGCATATGATGTACCCGTGCAGTTTCCTGTAACAATCAAAGATCATTTGTCAAGAAGGGGAAGGATGGTATATATGACTGGAGGTGGCTTGATAAAGTGTCACATCCATGTAGTGCACAAACCATAATAGAAATATCCAACTAATAACAAGTGATGCTAGAAGGAAAAGAAGTTGCAAAAAAACATAAGATTACAATCAAGTATTACAATATTAATATGATAAGTATTAAGTGATGGTCAAATTTTGCTTCACTGAAAGATAGAATTGTTTTAAGTTTTAACTACATGAAAGATTTCAAAAAGGGTGCCTAGTTAATAATAAGGACAAACAAAGAAGCTTACCTCTTCGCCTTGTGTACTACATGGTTTCAACAGAGAACGAGCATCTTCTTCCAGCACACTGACATGATCAGCCAATGATGCGATGAGAACTAGATGTGTGTTCAACTCAGCTTTTAGTTCTGCATGTTCTTCCTGAATGCCAGACAACTGTTTCTGCAACTCCTCAATGTGAGCATCTCGGGAAGAGATCTCCTTCATTAGCAACTCCTTTAGGGATATTGCTCTATTCTCTGTAGCTTTACCATTCATCATAAGCTTGAATGCTTTTTCTTCATAGACCGCAGAATTCACTGAAGAGGTAATTGCATCATCCATCAGAGCAACAAATTCCCTCTCACATTGCTCAACCTCTGATTGCAATGCCTCATTGTTTTGGTGAAGAAGTAAAATTTCGTCATCCTTGCTAGAACACTGTTCAATCAGTCTTGTGATTTTCTTCTCCAGTTCTCCTTTCACCACTTTAGCACCTTCGATTGCAACCTGAAGAGACCCAACAACTCCACAGAGTTCCCGGTTCTTTTCTTGCAAGAGTTGAACCTTCTCTTCTGCTTCCATTAGCTCATCATCCTTCTGCACCAACTGTGTCATGCAATTCTCAAGTTCAACAACCAACTCCTGGCAGACACTTTGATTGGTGTCCAGATCAAACTCTGAAAGGACTAATCGAGTTCTGAGAATCTCTACCAAGTAGATGATATACTCCTTTAAGTGACTATTTTCTGATTCAAGCGCCACTGACCTTCTGCTCAGCTCATTAACTTGGAGATCAAGATCGCCCTTAGCCAAACTCAACAAAGCCATCTCATCGGTAAGAGAAGCCAATGCAGATGCAATCTCATTATTATGTCCCCTAAAGAAGAGGTACAAGTTCTCGAGCATCATGCATTCTTCAAGAACAGTATCATTCTCATCTTCCAAGGAATTGTACTTCTCACTCAAGGACTGGTATTCCTTAGACAAGGACTCATTTTTTTCGGTCAGGTTGGAAATTTCATCTTGTGAGGTCTGGTAGGACTCTCTCAAACAAGATAGTTTCTCTTGTATGATGAATACTTCAGTTTTAAGCACCTCCTCCCTTTCACTGCTTTCCTGTAATCCATTCCTTAGTTGTTCATTCTGTTCCAACATCTGTTGGTTTTTGTTTTGCAAAGAAAGCGATTCTGCTTCTCCACTCTCCACTTCTTTCTCAAGGGCACACTTCTGTAAGTGCAGGTCTCTGAGCTCCATCCCTACTTGCAACAAAACTACTGAGAGAACTGAGAGCTCGGTGTCCATGAGCCTATTCACATCTTCAGTTTCACCCATAAGTCTCAGAATGTTAATGGTTTCATCTGAAACAGTCTGCAACAGAACTTCGTCCTCAGCTAAATCAGCAGGTCCTAGATCTTTGCAGATATTCAGAACCTTCATTTGCTTTGAAATCCCTTCCCTCAGTTTTTCATTGTGCGTTAGCAATGTTTTTCTCTCCTCTCCATGATTTCTAGCTTCATCCATCAACTCTGAAACTAACATATTGGCCGAATGATTTTCCACGGCATACTTCTGGCATTCAGTGAAAAGAGCGACCTTCTTGTCTTGCTCATAGACCAAACAGTTCTCCAAAATAACTGTACTAATAGAAGCACTTATGTTTTTCTGCTGTTCCTGTTGAAGCACCTCCTCCATATAATGGTTTTTCTCTTGCAGAGAAGAAATTTGTTTCTCATAGCTGTTTGCTTGCAGTTGATGTGACTTTGCTGACACTTCAAATTCCTCGTTCTTAATTCTCAACTGATCCTGCAGTTCCCTTACTTGATCATATGCAAAATCCTTCTCTCTGGATACAGAGGAATGCTTCTGTTCCAGATTGGCATGCATACCTTCTAGGGCTTTCATGGCCAATGTAATGCTCTCCAACTGAAAGAAAGAATTTACATAATACATTATATGAGAAAAAGAATGTATGCACAGAAGGACATGAGATGAGACCAGTTCAAAAATTATGACAGTGTAACAATATTAATTTCTACTTCAACAAAAAAAATAGTATGTAGGTTTACATCAGTATGTACCTGAGAGAACAGGTGGTTCTTTTCAGCAGAAAGGGCTGAATTATTTGTTAGGTGAGCCTGGCAGGATTCTTCAGAATCTTTCAGCTTTGTTCTTAATTCATCTAGCTCAGTTTTCATATCACTTAATGAGACATCCAAGATAGAATTCTTCTCTGAAACCTCAGATAAACTTTTACCAAGGATCTCTAGCTCTGATGCAAGAACAGCCTTTTCAGAAACATGACAGGAAATTGCTTCCTTCAGAGAGCTTTCTGAGGTCTGTAGTGCTTTTATATTCTCCCTCAATGCATCCACTTCACCAGAGAGAGCCGAGTTATTTGCAAGGAGAGCCTGACAGGATTCTTCAGAATCTTTCAGCTTTGTTCTCAAATCTTCTAGGTCCATTTTCATATCAGATAATGAGATATCCAAGATAGAATTCTTCTCTGATGCATCAGATAATCTTTTACCAAGGATCTCTATCTCTGATACAAGAACAGCCTTCTCAGAAACATGACAGGAAATTATATCATTGAGAGAGCTTTCTGAAGCCTCAAGTGCTTTTATCTTCTGCCTCAATGCATCCATTTCACCAGAAAGAGCTGAGTTATTTGCAAGGAGAGCCTGGCAGGATTCTTCAGAATCTTTCAGCTTTGTTATCAAATCTTCTAGGTCCATTTTCATATCAGATAATGAGATATCCAAGATAGAATTCTTCTCTGAAGCATCAGATAATCTTTTACCAAGGATCTCTATCTCTGATACAAGAACAGCCTTCTCAGAAACATGACAGGAAATTATATCCTTGAGAGAGCTTTCTGAAGCCTCAAGTGCTTTTATCTTCTCCCTCAATGCATCCATTTCAGCATTTGCATCTGAAAGTGAGTTCTCCAGGAGTGAATATTCTTCAGATAGCTTCTCCACCTCTTGGAGTTTTTCTGAGAGAAGTGCCTTCTCAACCTCATTCCTTGCACACACCTCCTTCAGTTTTGAGTTTGTAATTTGCAATTCCTCAATCAACTTCTGGTTCATTGTTGCAGTGGCTTTTAGGGTATCCATCTCATCAACCAGAGTGTGGTGTATCCCCTCTAGATTTTCCTTGTCTTCCCTTTGAGAAGTAAATTCTCTCTGAAGTGCTTCTTTTTCACCTATGTGTAACCCCATTTCTGCCTGAAGTTTCACATTCAAATCCTTCAATGCGTCCAATTCAAGATGAAGGTCCTTTATCATAAGCTCAGTAGAACGATTCTGTTCACGAAGGATATGGATTTCCTCCGTATGCTTGGTTACAATGTTCTCAAGATCAACCTTACTGTTCTCCACCTGTCTTAAATTACCATTCAGCTTCTCGAGTTCCAGTGCCAACTCTCTCACTTCATTTTGTGACTCGGAGTGAAGATTTGTCATCATAAGAAGAGATGCTTCACCTTCAAGCCGTTTTTTAGCTTCATCTTGTAGGCTAATTTGGAGGCTATCCGCTTCTTGTTTCTTATATATGAGTTCTTGCTCTATCATCTGAACTTTCCCTTCAACATTCTCCAGTTCAGTTTTCAAGGCCAAGAGTTCAGATTCAAGATCCGATATTCTCGCTGAGGACTGCTGGTTCTCATGGAGGGTAGCATCTTTCTCAGTGTTTATAAGTAGGATGGTGTTGTTAAGTTCAGATGACAAGTTCTCCAACTCATTCAACTTGCCATTCTGCTTCTCAATCTCTATCTGCAACCTACTAACGTCTTCCTGTGACTGCGAATACATTTTCTCCAATGACACAAGCGATGTTTGGGCTTGTAGCCTCTTCTCACATTCATCTTTCAAACTTATCTCCAGGCTGTCGACACTTTCATTCTTCCGTGCAATTTCTTGCTCCAATAAGAGAATTTTTTGTTCAGACTTCTCCATTTCCAACTGCATCTTTGAGAGTTCTAACTCCAAATCAGATACTTTCTCTAGAGACTGCTGTTGCTGAAGGAGTGCTGCATCCTTCTCCGAGTTCAAACCTAAAATGGCGTTCTTCAGTTCTTTCAGTGTGCTCTCCAGGTCTAACTTATTATTTTCCAGCTCACTAAGCTTCTTTTTTGATCCATCAAAATCTTGTGTCAGCGTTCTCATTTCTTCTTGCAACTGGGAATGCAGACCCTCTGTCATGAGAAGAGTTGCTTCAATTTGCATACGCCTATGGCATTCATCTTGCATCTTGAAATGGACACTGTCCGCTTCTTCTTTCTTCTTTTCAAGATCTTGTGTCAGCAACTGTACTTTCTGCTCAGTCTCATCTAGCTCTGACTGCAGCTTTGACAGCTGAGATTCGAGTACCGAAACCTGCTCCACAGACTGCTGGTGTTGAAGCACAGCTGCATTCTTCTCAGTGTTTAGCTGTGAAATGATGCTCTTAAGGCTTTGTATTTCACTTTGAAGTTCATTCTTTGAATCCTTGAGTGTATTTATCTCATCACCAAGTTTCTGTATAAGCACCTCAGAGGACTGGTTTTGTTCTGTAAGGCGCTCAACATCCTTCTTCAGCTCATAAACAGTGTCCTCAAGGACCTCCTTGGTCTGCTTGAGCTCATTCAACTTTTCATTCGCTGCCTTTATTTCTATAGCCAACCTCTGTACTTCTTCATGAGATTGAGCAAGTTCCTTCCCCTGGGAAAGTAGAGCACTTTCAGCCTGCATGCGCTTTTCATGCTCCTCCTGGAAGCTTGAGTGGAAACTCTCCAATTCCTTAAGCTTTTGTTCTAGTTCTTGTTGCTGCATCTTCATCTTCTGATCCAAACCCTCAGCCTCAGACTGTATAGCAATATTGAGTGTTTCAGCATTAATTAGCTTCTGGACATTTGCAGCCATTTCATCAGTTAACTTCTCGAGGTCAGCCTGCACCTTCGAGAGCTCAGACTCCAATGTAGATATTCGCTCAGAGGACTGATTATATTGCGTAAGTGATGTGTCTTTATCAGCATTTAATTGCAATACTGTTGCCTTGAGCATTTGCATCTCATTTTCAGCTTTGTTTGCCCGCTCGGATTCTGACAACATCTGCTGTTTCAGATTCTGGCTCTCGGCTAATAGTCTTGCAACTTCTTGTTGCAAATTTGCCATCTCGTTGCTGATATCATCTTTCCCTTTAACTTCTGGGCTTTCAAAAGTTAGGCCTTTCCGCACCTTTCCATCAAAACCAGCACGAGGAGCATTTTCACCACTCGATGACAAATCATTGAACAGCTTTAGACCTTTTCGACTTGAAAATGAACTGGTTTCCTCAGGGTGTGTACCATTCCTCTTGGAGGTGAAATGTTGTGGTGACACACCAACTCCATCCTTCTGAAGATCATCGGAATCAAATGTCGCACGTGTGAAAGTAGACATATCTGGAGTATGAGGCTCCATCTCTTGGCTGAAAGCAGAGGGTGACTCGTCTGACATTGACGGCATCTGATTTGGAAATGCTTCAGAAATTGTTCTGTGAGCCTGGCGAAGTGCCCCAGTGGCCTGATCATATCTTTCTGCCAGCGCACGGTATGCTCGATAGAATTCCTCCACCAATTTCATTAGCTCTGGACGTTTCTTGTAGTACATCTCTGCTCTCCTTGCAAAAGAATCAGCATCTTCATTGATAAGTTTGATCATTGCTTTAACCTTTGTGTCCATGTCTGTTGCACAAAACGAGACCCAATTAGTTCATGGACCACACTTATAAATGCAGTCCTTTCATTGCAACCATATCTTCAAATTGATTCCATAGTTATGAAAAAAGGAACATATATGGACCAATGTTAGTTACTTCGTAGTGACAAAAAAGAAGGCATCAAAGGAAACATTTAAGCTGTCCAAGTGTTTCCAACAGAAATAGACTTCAGTTTAACTGGACCAATAAAAATGCCTCTCTCCCTCTTCCTCTCTCCAGAAAACTCTTTAACACATCAAAAGAAAACTCTTGCACAGATATATGGGCAACAGTTTAGGACCTAGTGTTAACAGATTATGAAGATATTTCCAAATTCAAATACCATATGTGCATTTTTTTATCAAAGAAAGACTGACATTGAGAAAACAGTCCAATGCAGCAGAAACTCTCTCCAGAGAATTCTTTAACACATCAAATGAAAACTCTTGCGCAAATATATGGCCAACAGCTTAGAACATAGTGTTAACAGATTATGAAAATATTTCCAAATTCAAATACCATATGTGCAATTTTTTATCAAAAGAAAGACTGACATTGAGAAAACAGTCCAATGCAGCAGAAAGATCCATACGTAATTGCTCGGATCATGAGCAAAGAAATACAGAAATGTTGTTCCAACTGAATAATAAGTGTACTGCATTGAATTTCCAAGTTGACTGGTATATACATTGTAGAACAATGATAGGAATATCATGATAGATACGACACAAACAATGCATAAGCATGAGCTTGGCTGACTATAAGCTTTGCCTTGAAGTAATAAAGTAGGAAAAATGTCTTTGGTAAAGATGAACTGAAGATAGCAATGAACTCACCGCTGATATTTTCCTGGAGCCATTTCGAGTTCTTGGGGCTGATATGGCTAACCCACAACCAAGAGTACTGCCTTGAATCATGATGAACCAAAGTCGCCATTGGTGCTGGATAGCAACAGAGACTACTCCAACCAATAAATAATGCCTTACTTCCTCAGCGCTTAGAACAGTGCAGAGATGCAATATATTATCCTCAAAACCATGAGGGTCGTCGACTCCCCCACTTTTCAGTTGTGGCCTTGTGGGATCAACGGAATCAACACCTGCATGGTTATCACAAACAGAAATGACTTGAAAAAGATCAATAAAGCAAGGTATCAACAGCAATGATGAAGAGGAATCAAGGACACCATGCTTATGACTATGACTTAGTACGTACCAGCAACCAGCGGCAAGTCTTGAACTGGCCCGAAGATACTACTAGTAGATAACTTGCCCACACTGCACCAAACTGGAGTCAAGAAAAGTTAGCACTGGCCCTCAGTAACTGGACGACGAGAAAAAATTGTGCATGCACAGACAGCACAGTAAGCGCTACCGAAGTGATAGTGCAACGCTTCCTTCGTGTGACGTAAAAAAAAGCAATCACAATTCTGTCAAACTGACCGATAAGCAAGGCAACCAATAGAACAGGGGAACAAACCAATCAAGGATATATATATATATATATATATATATATATATATATATATATATATATATATATATATATATATATATATATATATATATATAATAAACAGGAAACCAACAGAACCCAAAATCCGCTTCCCCAGAAACGAAACCTCCCGATAAGACGGGAACATCGACGCAGCAGAAGGCAAGAAGCGGGTTTTGGAAGCAAATCTCGCGAGTCAGGCGTCATTCCCCAAGCAGAAAAAGAGAGCACATAGATCACATGATCCACGCCTGCTGCTCCTTATCCCACCTACCAAGCCCACCCATCAACACCAACCATTCCGGCAATCCAATTCTAGCAAAAGCCGAATCACGGAGCAGCAGCAGCAAAAGATGGATCTTTGGAGCATCCAGGCGCGAAACACAGGTCGGGTACTCAACAATCACAGCACAGGTGAAGGAACAAGGAAGCAAAGATCCAATCCAATCCAATCCTGGAGCAGCGGAGTCCGTCTAGTGAGAGAGGAAGCGGGGAGAAGGGCATACCAGGTGGAGCGGAAGTGAGCGGCGGCGGCGGGGTGCCAAGATCCAGCAGGCTGCCCACTTTGTGCCTCCATCTCTCCCTATCGCCTTTGCCTGTGGACAGTGGACTCTGCTGCGGGGTGCGGGCGGGGCGGGCGGGCGTAGTGCCAAGAAGAAAGTCTGCTTCAGCGCGGCAGGAGGCGGGCCCCACACCAAGCGGACGATACAGGAAGGGAATAGAGACTACTCGTGACCCGCCAGCCTTTGAAGAGAGACGGACGGAGGTGATGATGCCATGACCATGAGCTGGTTTTTTGGGCGTCTGTTCGGCTAATACAGCCGGCCGAAGCTGTTTTTACCGTAACTAAAAAATATTATAGATTCTAATCAGATAAATCGGCTGATAAGTTTAAATAAATAGGATCTAAATTGGATGGCCCTAAGGAATTATGAATTCATATACTACTACTATGGAGTACTAAGCATTTTTTATGCAACGGTTATGAGATATTAAGATGCTGCTAGGAATATGAGTATATTTTCCAAAGGATCGTGGGCAGGGTTTTCGATTTCAACATTAATTTTTTTCCGATTGCCCCTAAACTTATCAAATTTCATGAAATTAGGTCAACAATCTATTGAACTTTCTTTAGAGACTTAAACATGAAGAATGTGTTTTTAAAAACTTTCAGATCTAAACAAAATATTAGTATGATTTATGACTACACATCTGTTGAGGAGAAGAATATAAAACATAAACAATACAAACTATAAATCTAGAGTTATATAGCACATATATTAGTGTAATACAAAATTTTGGGTTTTTCTTTCGGTCACCTCCGAAGTTACTGGAATTCATGGTTTTTCAACAAAATTGTGAACCCTAATCATGGGAGATATTTCAAATGCTACTTGTCGGGGACCTAATACCGGGGTACCCCAGAAGGTGGATCCAATAACCACTGAACGTTAAAAACTTCTGGACGCATAAGAGCGTTGCTTCACCCCTCACTGGAATGACAGGAGCTTGGTTCCACCTCGCCATACGCCTTTGGGGTGGGCTCGGTCTCGCCCGAGGGCCGAGGATTAGTCTCCGTCTCTCGCCTGACGCTTTTGGGACGGGCTCGATCTCGTCCAAGGCCGAGGATAAACCCCGACTCGCCTGGACGCCTTTGATGTGGCTGCCGCCTCGCCCGAGGGCACAGGCTAATCTCCGTCTCGCCTGGCGCCTTTAGGGCGGGCTCGGTCTCTTAGGGGTGAGGATAGATTCCGCCTCGCTTGAGCCGGGAGGAACAGGTCGCTCTCGCCAGGAGATAGGGATTGGTCTCCGCCGCCCGACGGCAAGGAACAAGCCTCACTCTGCTCCATATCTAAAGATTGGATTCATCTTACTCGACCACTTCTCCTGTTTCCTCAAGATGATAGAGACAGGGCAAGACAAAACGTCAGTCAACCGTGGCTCCAAGAACCATATACTGCACCTGGCGAGAAAAGTACTGCCAAGGGATGATGGGACAGGCGCTTTAGGCCCTTCCAGCGCCTGCAGAGCCCGAAAGGTGTTACTGGTGCGAGCTCTCCACCTCAGAGTTGTGGCGCCGTCTTGACTCTGGGACACGGAACCGAACGAAGATATACGACGACAACCGCTACGCTCCGTAAAAGGATTTGCTATCTCCACGAGCACGGATGTTCCGTCACCACGCTTATAGACCCAAGGGAGCGACGCCCGCTTCCCGACCCTCAGTCCACCGGAGACAGAAGACCTTAGCCACGGCGCTACTCAGACCCGACCCGCGTCCCTCCGACGAAAACTCATAGGAACCAGAAGGCGTGCGGAGCAAGGCTGGGGGAGGCTCAAAAGTCAAAACCACTGTACTGTGGCCCATACCCTGCGCAGGATAGCATTCTGTAACCAACCTGACATTCTATAGAGACATCGACAATATTGTAGGCGCTTATCTTCCTTCACACTCATCAGAATGAAGAACCAGGCCAGATAGACGTGAGCCACAAGACTAAGTAGAGTACGCATCCTAATGCCCTCACCCTTGTAAAGCCAGCCCCTTCATCTATAAAAGGGGAGGCGCTTCCTCCATAAAAAGAGGAGGAGAAAAAAGATCGAACGAGACGACTCACAGATACACACAGTCAAGTTGTGTCGAACCTCTTGAGATCCCTTCAACCCTTTCATCAGAGACTTGGGACCAGTCCCTCTCTCGATCGTTTGTACCCCTTACTACAAACCGTTCACGGTGCTAATAACACGAGCAGCAACAAACTGGACGTAGGGACTTTCGGCCCGAACCAGTATAAATCTTGTGTCCTTTAGCGCACCATCCGAGCCTAACGCGCATTACTATAAATTTACTTGCCGGTGCTTGTACGAAACACCGACAGTTGGCGCGCCAGGTAGGGGCGCTTGAGCGTTCCAAATCAGGCCTCGGATGGCCACCCACGCAATCACCTGGGTCCCCAGGCGCACACGTGCGTTTCGGCGACCTAGATTTCATCATCACACTAGAAGGAGAGTTGGTGTGGGGGATATACCCCCGGGTACCACAAGATGGTACATGGGCCGCACCATCCGAGGTGGCCCGGCCCGTAAGATCAAGGCGTACACATCAAGATTACAAGTTGTACTAGATATTGTAATAGTACCAAATTGGATACTTTACTTGTAACCTTGTCTCTTCGGAGTATATAAGGAGAGACAAGGGTCCCCTAGAGGAGAGGTTAATCCATATACATCTCAATACGATACACCAAAGACACGGGGACGTAGGGTATTACGTCGATCGAATGACCGAACTCGTCTAAATCGGCCATCTCTGCGCTTTGTATCACCATCCGTTCACGATTACACGCGCATCGTCACCGATAATCTACCACCACGGGCACCCCCCTCGGTGGATCGCCGACCATATTTCGTCGGCGGTGGCGCGCCGGTAGGGGTCCTCTTTTTAGGGTTGTGCGTCTTGATTCCATGATGAACTAGATGGCGTACCTCAAGATCTACATCGTTTATGGTCACTTGGTGATCAAGGCAACATCACGACGCCACTGCGCGGCGGGGTGTCATGGCAAGACGAGTCTGGCGGCGCCCTATGCTTTCTCCGCATGACGGGACATGCTCGATAGATCGGACTTGGCCATGACACACTTCAAGCCTGTCGCCGCCAGACGAGGCGTACACATCCAAAGATGCCTTCGTGAAGGGCCACGCGATCCGGATTTTGATATATCTACATGCGCATGCACGCATGCATGTAGAATTCATCTACATCTTGATCTCAATACAAGTGTCGATCTCGTCGCCGCGGCATCCTACGGCAACCCGGTGTTAGAGGACCCCGTCGTCTACACGCCGCTTGCCGATGCCATCGGCGGTTCCCAAGAATCCGGTCTCGATGCACCGCCATGCACGTCTAGCCATGAAGAAGGAAAGAGTACTATATTAAAGGCATGAAAGCTAATTAAAATTTGGTACGCGTATATGCATATACGTACACCTTAAGCGAGCAAGCACGATTTCCCTTGCTTGTTGCCGACGTATATCCTCTTGATTCGACGTCGACGCAGCCAAGACCTCTAAAGATCGGACTCGGAGTTTTTCGCCCATGCTCTGTTCCCACATCGCAATGAAGATCGACTCGACCACCCGCCGTGATTACCGCCGCGACCGCCGCTTCTGACGATCGGCGGGAAAGTTCGAGGATTGGGCAATTCCGTCGCCGCCGATCGAAAACATCATCGCCTCGATCGATCAGCTCAGGCGCTAAGCGCCTTCTACAACAAAGTACTACGAGAAGCTCTCTCGACCACCACCCCACCGACTCACCGCCGAGCTCCAACCACGTCGACCACGTCCCGAGCGGCTCCGCTGAGCTCCAACCACGTCGACCACGGACCATGTCTCGAGCGGCTCCGCCAAGCTCCGACCACCTCGACCACCAGACCACG